CCAGAAGTTTTTACCTAAAGATACATTTGGTAATCATTAGATAATTGCAAAATTTCCAATGAAAACAAATATGTATTTCTCGAGATATTCAATTTTGAAGTAGACTGAATTATTGTATTCTTCTTTATATAATGCAACTTTTTTTTTTGGATATTGAATATATCGAGAAAGACATGTTTGCTTCCATTGAAACTTTTTGAACTATCGAATAAATATTAAATGTATCTATAAGCAATTAATCCCATGGAAAAAAAACATACAGGAATGTGTTCTTGTAATGAAAAAACGCTTTGGTAAGACGCTATTGGCGTTGTTTTTGAACGTGTTTTCGTTGTAAAAAACGCGTTTTCTTTAACAGAAAAGAGCGCACTTTGATCTTCTTAGAATACTGCTGAGGTAGAATGGTTCTCAAGTGGTAAAACGTGTTTGAGATGATAAGCACGCGTTTTTGTTTTGAAGAAAAAAATATTGATCTTCAACTATATCATGTTTCTGAACCTCTTCCTTGCCGGATCTCTGATCATTCCTAGATAACTCGTCCCTTTATCAGTGGAGTTCGTTCTCGATCAACATGTTCTGGCTGGGTCCTAGACGAAGATTCTAGGAACGCGTTCTAACTAGTTATTTTTTGTTGCTTTATGGTAGATTCGACCAAGGGTACCTATACTTACGTAGTAGGGAAATGTTAAATTTTCTATTTGTATTGAATAAAAGCTCTATCTATTTGAAACTTGTACTTTTATTTGAAGTAAACGCCGAATTTGAGTTCAAATAAATATTCTATTTATAAACTTGAGACAGGGATTTTATTATAAAATTTTAAAAAATTTAAATTTCTATTATAACAATTGATCGAAGGTTCTGTAATTATTGTTTTATAAAATAAAAACAAACTTCGGAAAGAGCTCGCATATCAATAAAAATATTGTTAAAGCATGCGCTTTTGATTGTAACGTAAACTCATCTAAGGAAAAAATAGCTGATATAAGATTTTTTAATTTAAATTGATTCAGATAATTAAAGCAATCTTTTATTAAAAAAATCGAAAATAAACTCTTGATGATTCAGATTTTATGTCAATTTAAAATAAAAATGTCTGTTACATCAAAGAAAACCAGTGCAATCAAAAGCTTCAGAGAGATAAAAAAACACCATTCTTGTATTGTTGTGATAGTAGTCTTTATTTATTTTCTCATTGTGTGAAACGTCTTATTTTAGAAAACGAATTTCACATATAGCCTTAATCTGTCATAAAGTGCTTAAAACAGTAGCATTGAAACGTTCAAAACGAAGTCATTTCTCATGTATGATTTTTTGTTTTAAAATTGATAAAAAGCGTAAAAGAAGAGGTGTCTCCCTCTTTTTAACTCATCTATCTTATTTAGATTTACTTAGCTAGTTAAAAACTACGTAAATTTAAAATTCTTTTTTAAGACTATAATTGTCATCCAAGATAATTGATGATCAAAATAAGGATCCATGTTTCTCATTTCTTCATTTCGAAAAAATATTTTCTCTTTCTTTTTAGAAGCGATCTATTCTTTGTTTCGGCTGTTGCTGTTCACTCTTTATTTTTCATTTTTCGCATTTTCTATTTATTAATTTAACATGTTTACTTTCATCCGCATTGAATAAATCATATATAAGGTTGTTAGTATTATCTACTGAGGAAGAAATCGAAATTCAGGAAAATTTTAAATTTTCTTTGTAGTAGAGAGTAAAATTTCAACTTTTCGCTGGAAAGTTTTTCATTTTTCTGAATTTCAATTCATTCTCCAACACTCGAATCATATCTACAATGGTAGCTCTTCACATACTACAATATATCTTTATCAGAGACCGAAGTGAATAAGATTTCGATTCAGCTTCAGCCTGTGATCTAAATTGACTCACGAACACTGATATGGATTATTTTTCCAAGTTATAATCTGATTAATATACGCTTTTTATGTTGATCAAATGATAGCTGTAGCACATAGTTGTATTACCACCAATCATCATTGACATCTTGTATACAAATTTGTTTACACAAAAGTTGCAAACCGCACTATCTAAAACGTTCACCAATATATTCTAGTCATCGTAGTTTCCTTGAAAATTTTAGAAAATTCTAAAACATTCTTGATCTACCAATAACCGTTATTCAACGTCTTTAATCCAGGCTGTTACGGTCTGTAATGAGTGGGTGCGGGCGTCTCTAGGTCTATTATGCAGACTCTTTGAGATAACCGTTTTCATTAGTCAGGACTCCTATTTTTATGGGATATAATCGAGAAACATGTGCCCTCATATAACAATAGGCAAACTTCTTGATTGACTTTGTATTTTTATTCAATGAATTGTTACATATTAAGAAATGAATTCCATATGATTACAAACGCGTTCTAGCTATTCAAATAAAGCATGTTCTAAAACTGTACGAACGCGTTCTTTTTTAAATATTTTGATGTGTCCTTAAGGTGTATATTTTCCAACTACAGGAACGAGTTATTATCGAACGACCTGAAACGCTTCTATTGGGATAGCGTTCCTCTCGATGTGAAACGCATTCAGCATTAACATGTTCTTGGTGATACAAGCGCTTTTCTTATTCGTAAGAACGCATTCGAACGCGTTATTTATGAAAATGCGTTCTTACTCGTTCATTTTTCTTATTTTTTTTCCATGAGAAGATGTCAGATCAGACTTTTTATTGTGGATTTTTCAAAAATGCTTTACCCTTAGCGACAATACCAGTAAATCGGCCATAACTCTTTATCATTAGGCCATGGATACAAACTCTTTTAAGATTTTGCTTAGTTTTATAGGAAACTACTAGTAGCCATAATATTAAGTCGAATGGCGTTCGACAATTGGATATGTTCCCTTATAAGTTGTGAGTATTTCAATGCAAAGAGAAATAGATTTATTTGAATATTACCTGCATGCTATGCTCTATTGCTCTTGCTTTTGTTTAGTACTTCCAGATGAAGTTCTACGACATTGAAAAGAGTTCTTATTTTGACAATGAGTAATGTAATAAAAATCACTGCTAGGGAATGATGTTTGATCTTCATTATGATATTCTCTTTTTTTTTCATTCTTTTCTTGTTTTTCATGACGTAACAAGTTTATATATTCGAGTTTTATCTCTCATGACTATAATTCAATATATCATAGAGTCAGATGATATAAATTTAACTATTTTTCTCGTTTTTTCTTTCAATTAATTGAAAAATGAAAAAAAAGACTCTTTCCATGAGTACATAGAGAGTCTATTTTAATGTCATATTTCTCTTTTGAAATTTTAACGAGAATACTTGACAATAGTAAATCGAATTCTTATTGTCTACTAGTCACACGCATTTCTTTGAGTGGCATCTGAGTCATAAATGAGGTTCGATAAAAATCGTTTTATAATAATATTTTAAGAATTTATTTATTCTCATGAATGAATGAATGTAATTTTTTATTTATTTTACTATATTAATAATTTATGACAATAAAATCAGTCATTATCCATAGCAGTTGTTTCTCATTCAATGAAACAAATAACTAATTGACGTTAATTCACATAACATATGCTTCAGTGAATGCTAAGTTTGAAAAAATTTGCTTACATGCGCTAATATTTTTCCTTGTAAAGACTTTATAACATTGTTGAAAAATAACACAAACTTAACCCATTTTTTCGGAACCAATCATTATTTATTTATAGATTTTCATTTTCGTGCATAATAGAGATAACTTTGATAGATATAGTAAATACATGCTATAGGCTACCACCAATGTTCATGAGGGTGTTGTCTATAGAACCAGTACATTATCTTATAGAAAATAATGCTCTCATTCATATATACTCCGAATAAATACAACATCACTATTTCTCGATGATTTCAATCATTATTGAAGTTCTATAAGTTTTTAAAAAAAGTATTTATTAATTTTGACTATCTTTCAATGTTCGTTTCATACATTTTATTTTCTATCTCTTTTATATCCATTGAAGCATACATTTATATAATAATTAAAGTCTAATTATCAGTCGTTAATAGAATCGATATGCTGTTCTTGTTTATTTCATCTTTATAAGAACGAAAAAAAAAAAAATTTCTTAACAATAGAAATCATAAGTTAAAGGTTAAAGGATGTGTAGATTTCGTTCAGCCGTCTTCAGCATCACTTCGAACAAGGTCATCCTACTTTATGATTGTCTCTGACTGCTACAAACAAAAAACAATCACATTCTTACACCCTTCTATTAAACAGACATATTAAAAGTAAAACAATAAATGTTATTGTGTCGCTATTTCTATTTGCAAAACAGAGATTCCCGAGTCAAATGCGTATCGCCTCGCACTCTAGTGCACGCTTATGCAACATTAAGCAAGCTTGTGCGGAACATATGCCATGCCATTCCATGGCTTCAGACGTTCTAGAGAACCGCTGAAGATACAAATTAGCCAAGATCAAATGCGTTCACAGAGCCAAATTCTAAAGAGACGTGCAACGTGCATAAGTGTGAACTATGGCGTGAGTTTGACTTGCGAATCTCTGTTGCAGACATACCAAGAAAGTTTCTCTTATTCATTATCTCTACCATTGTTAAAATAATCTTCTTAAGAAAACCTCTTTCTTACATATTGAGAGTCGAATTTCTAGAAAACTATCTTATTTCACAAATAGACTCATTTGTATTATCTCCAATATCTTTCATAAAATAACCTTATAAAGAAAATGCTTCATATTTCAATTCTATGTACATGGTCATAGGAAAATCTTTTATTCTTTGTTTTTGTTAAGATTTTTCAATGATTCAGTTCAAAATAAAGTTTTTCTTCTAGATGACTAAATGCTGTTCCATTTGGATATAAAACATCATGAAACCATACTCTTGGTATTGGTGCATCTTTTGGAGATTTCCATTGATAATATGTTTGGGATCGACCAGCTACGAGACCCCATTGTATTGTACCGATTTTTTCACTGTTAAAATATTCTAAATGCGTAAATAATGTTGAGCCAAATGGACGTGCAAGCCATTCTGTACAAAGAATAGGTCGATCCCGTTGAATTTTACGTAAATCAGTTATATTTTGCATAACATTTGCTAATGGACCATATGAATGAAACGATATTACATCTGAAACAGATAATTCAAACAAAGCTAATGGTGTTGTTAATGGCCATTTGGCTACTCCAATAGTCATTGGCTGTTGAACGTTACGAACAGATCGAGCAGCTTCGTATATATAACGAAGTAAAGGTAAGATAACATTCACCTGTTTACTACATTCAGGTTCATTATATAGATCCCATGCAAAAACACGTTCATCAGATTTATAATGATTGATAACATCTATTGTATAACTAAATATAAATATATATATATATATTGTTTTCATATAATAATAAAGTTTAATGTCTTTATTTTACTCTCTAAGTATTGGCCAATTTGTTCTATTTAACACCATTGATTGACCAGGACATCGAACCCATTGTGAATTATGTACACCTGGTATAGGCTCTGGTTGTTTGCCTAAATGTGGGTTAGCATTCCAACATTCATCAAATAAAACAAGCATAACTTTTAAATTATTATTTTTGGAAATATTAAGAAATGTATCTAAACGTTCAAAAAAATTTCTTGGAGTTTCTTGCCATACAAGTACATGAAGAAAAACTCGTAATGCATTCATTCTTAATCGATGATTAGCCCATTGAAGTTCACGTTTGATTGTTACTTCATCAAATGTATCTTGCCACATTTCAAGTACATTGACAGATGTGGATGGCAAATAATTGGCACCAAGTAACCATGGCTGAGAAGTATACCATGACTGTGCACGTGGTATTGGCCAACGACTTTTCTTAATACGTCAATCAGAGTATTTAAAATAAACAATAAAAAAGCGTATATTTACTGATGCTTCTGCATTTAATTTTGCTGCAATGTCACTACTCGCATCGCCATCAATAGATTTCGTTGGTTGACGAAGGACAATTAATACGAGGATAAATACACTGCCAATCAAAATTGTCAACCATCGAATGGCATGTGGCTATTAATTTTTCAATATAGACATTTATTAAACATAAATCATCATGCTTTTTTTTTTTTACATACTCGCATCGTGATTGAAGCAATATGCCTATCGAATATTTCTGTCGGATCTACAGCCATTGACTGTAAAGATATGTGTCTTTGTTATATAGAGTATCGCAAGTTAAAACGATAGTCATTGCAATTGTGTGTGCAACTGAATATAGAAAAAAAAAAAAAAGAGAATTAAGAAAAAGAACAACGTGAGTTTGTATGTGCTTATACTTACTCACGTAAATAGCTTTTTTTTCTACCGTTCTTCTACCAATATTTCTTTTTTTAATGAATGGTGACTTGTCAAGCAAGCCTTAAAAAGTGAGAGAAGTGGAACTATAAGAAAAAAAAAAGGCGAAGAAATTTTAAAATACATTTGCCTTTATTCATATATTATTTTTTTAATTGTTTTTTTCTTTTCATAAGTAATTATTCAAATTTGCACAACGTTGTCACCACACTAGTGCTTTTATTTTTAGAAAAAAAAATGCAAAAAATTAAAAGAAAAAAAAATATATATAAATATATATTAATTAGCTGTTGGAACGGGTCGCTTGTGAAAATTTCTCCATGCTTGTTTTAGAGTAGCTTGTAACTCTTCATATTGTTCTTGTTTCGAATAAATATATATAGGAGGTAAACTAATTCTTGAAGAATAAGAAGAAATATTCTAAAAATAAATTTATTTTATTTTTCATCATATCAAAATAAAAATCTTACGGTAGAATATGTAGATATTGGTTCATTTAAGGTATTTCCTAGATTTACAAGAAGTTGTTCAACAGGAACAATCGTTTCATTACTATCACCGGATATACTATTGTGATCAAAATAAAAACTTATAGTATATTTTATTAACAAAAGATATAAGGGAAGGGAAAGAATAGAAGATATATATGAAGTTTGTCATATGCAAGTATGTGTATGAATAAAAGCTGTTCAACTATACATATATATGTGATATGGGGGACTAAGCTCATAGAGAATTTGATTTTGCGGCAAATTCAGAAAAAAAAAAGAAACGTCTTCAAAAATACACCATCGAAAATATAAGAAATACATGCGGTATAGTGAAGTAAGCGGTACAATAATATAGCAGTATAGCGGAATAAGCGGTACAATAATATAGCAGTATAATGACATGAGCAGTATACCGGTAAAGAGGTATAAGAACTATACCACTATACCTCTATCCTGCTGACATCGCTATAAGGTTATGCGCGTGCATATATTGATTTTGTTCCAGATTATTATTTTTTTACACAAAAAATGATTTTGCCGCAAAATTAAAATTCCCATCATATGAAAGAACTTACAGTTTGACTTCTTAATAATAATTTCGATGTAGATCGTCTATACATATTTATTAATAACAATAAAACTAGTTGTTGAATTTCGCTACATTTATGAGAAAAGAATTTATAGAATAATTTGAATCATACCTTGGCGAAAAAATAGTAGGATTTGGTTGAGGTTCAAGTTTTTCATTCGATGATGTTCGTATTATATTATTTGTAGTTGTGCATGCAATGTTCTATGATTGAAATATAAATAAATCAAAAAATAATTTATTTCTATAAATGAAAATGATCTTTTAGAATAAAAGCATAGTCATAAAAAAATTTCAATATCCAGAAAAAAAAAATCAATTATTTGAACTATGACAAAAATATGCGATGATCACACTGTATATTAGAAAAATTTCTTTTCTCTGTTGAGATAATTATATAGAAAATATTCTTTAAACTTATGTCTACAAGAAAAATGATTAACGTACAAATCGTGTTAATGGTCTTATTTGTGTTTTTGCATCATCTCCCATTTGTGCATGCCATTTTTTAAGACGATCTTCAATTTTTTCAACATGAACTTGATCATTTGTTAAATATTGTATTGTAGTTGCATTTCCCAAGCGTCTATGTCGAGATGAACGTGTGTCTGTTCGAAAATAAGTTGCAGTTCCCTGTGAACGATCTTTACCATTTGCATGTAGCGTTGTACCTGATCGACGTATATGCTATATAATTTATTTACTGATAAAAAAGAAACATGAATATAAAAAAAAACAAGAAATCAAACCGGATGAGATGCATTATTTGAATGTAAAAGCCATGATTGTTTACTATGATATTGTGCTTGTTCATCAGTAATTGGCGGTGCTAATTGTCTTTTCATTAAAGCAATAAATAATGGTAAATGTATAATACGTGATGGATATGCTTGTAATGAAAGAACTACCATTTCACGTAAACGTTCACTTAGAATTTGTGCACCATGACGTTTTTGTAAACGAACAAAATTATGTTTTAATATATAAAATAAATCACATGGACCTGTACATCGAGCTGAATTAATATGTGTTGATAAATCACATACATAAGATTCAAGGCCAATAATATCACCTGCGCCTAATAGAGCTAACTGTAATATTCGTTGAGCACGTTCTTTTTCAGCTTCAGCAAATGTCATATGACGTCGTTTTATAGCAAGACTTTCTCTATGACTATCGATATTTATTGTCGATGGAATATGAACATTGGATGATTCTGATGGTTGATGCATTGGTAAAAATGTTTCAAGAGCACGTCTATTATGCAATTAAATTAAATTAAATTTAAAAAAATTATAAATAAATTATAGAATCTACTGTCTCATTGAATCTGATTGTGGAAGAAGATATGGATATTGTAACCAATGTAATAAAGGATCCATAGTTATTTTAACTTCACCGCTAAATAAATGAAGATTATTTTTTTCTTTTCGATAAGAGATTCATGTGTTTTTTTTTTTTTGTTTTACCTCCAAATAAAATAAACAGCATCAGCACGTGTACCTTGTTTATAAAGCATACTATCATAAGAAAATCTACCTCGTTCTAAACTAAGACTAACAAGACGTTTAAGTCTTGGTGACCAGGTAGAAAATAATGGGCATCGATTGATAAATTCGGTTTTCTCTTGTAATTCTTTTTCATGTGCTGCTTTAAGTGTTCTTTTTGTTTAACGAAGACAAACAAATTCAGAATTAAATTATATTAAAAATCAATTAAATTCAAATCTTTACATACCGATTAAAAACTTCTCGATCAACAACTAATAAATCTGTTGGAGTAATGCTCATAACTGTTGCACTTCGTGGTTCATTTGTTACAAGTGCACGTTCACCAAAATCAAAACCACCAACTAAAATCCATATGATAACGTTTATTTTAAATAATCAATAAAAACAAAAAAAGGAAAGACTATTTCTTATTAAATTTCTCATCATAATTACAAGAAAATAGCAATCATGTTTGTTGTTTTTTAAGCAAATCATATTTTTCTTACGTTCTTTAAAAGCAAGACCGTTTCCTTCTGAATTAATTTTTATTATATTTCAAATAAAAATAAATAATTCTCAAATTTAGAATTTTTTATTCTTACCTAAAGTAACAATATAATTACCAAATTCTTGTGCTATAAGTTCTTCACGTTTATTAGGATCATGATCAAGTTTTGAAAATTCTTTTATAGTATCAAATTCAGGTGAAGCTTGTTTTGGACCATCTTCATCAAAACGATAAATGTTTACTGAACCTTGTAAAATAATGTAGAATCTATTAAAATAATCCTATTAAATAAATTTGAAATCAAGAAAATATTTCAATAGCTTACGTATCTCCTGGATCTCCTTGACGAATAACAACGTCCCATGCTGGACGTCGTTCCAACATAATTGTTTTACATATATCATGAATAACATCTTTAAGAAGAATTTATTTTTAAGAAAGAAAGATAAAAACAAAATCTAAATTTTACCATCAGATATTTTTTGAAATATTCCTTGTTTCTTTTTTAATGATTGCTTAAGCCATGGAAATATAAAATCATTTATTTCCGTTGTTGTTCGTTGATTAGGTGGTTTACTAGCAGCTCGTATTAAAGTTTCATAATTCAATGCCATTATAATATTTAGCAATCAAATGTCATCATCCGTACAAAGTAATTTTTTTTTTTAGTAAGGCTTTGTCAGTTTAACGAAAAAAGCGAAGAAAAAAGTGTTTGTCTGTTTTCTTGTAACAGTGTAGGTTATGAATACTTATCAGCGCCTGTTCCTCGTTTTTCTTTTTTAAACTGACAGCTTGTCTTTTAATAGTATCGTTATTTCTCTCGCTGTTTGCAACTATTCCTTGCATCTCAACAATTTTCGGAGTGCAGCAACGACAAGAATAAAAGTTTTATATACAACAAGAAAGAGAGAGAGAGAGAGAGAGTGAGACGTATGCTCTCTGTCTCTCACGCCCGACGATCGACACAAGGGCGTTATAGTGTTCGGAAGCATAGGGATCAAACAAACACAATTATCACTCCATACGACTCGAGTATCCACGTACGATTAAATATAGTAAGAGGAGAAAGAGACAAAACGACGTAAGTTCAATGAACATGACAAAAAGTAGAATGAATGGAATTTCGAAGAATAAGATAAATACACTATAGATTGATTTTGATTGTGTTTTGCTTTCATGCTACATAATAACAATAGACAACATATGCGTGTATGTCTGTTTTTAATTAGGTTTTTAGAAACAAAAAAGAAGATGTGACTATTATTTTTCATTTTATATAAGAAAAAAAAAAAATTTCCACGTAATCTTTACTATTCATGTACAATCTACTACTAATACTTTTCAATGACAATAAATTTTTATATGTTACCAAATATAAATTCTTTAAAAACAAATGATATAAATTGCCTCGTGTGTTCTTTATAAAGTTAGGTACATCTAACTATTGCATGTTAGATTTATATAATGTCTTTAAATATAAAACTCATTTGAGTTGTATCTAGGTGTTCTTTAACCATCACCCATTTTTTTCTCTATGATAACAATTGAGTTTTATCATTTATTTGTTCTTGTCCTTGGAAAGGATTCAACTTGTCATCATAAATAACGCTTTTTTTTATACTTTATTCAGAAAAAAAAAAGTAAAATCAAAATTTCGTTTTCGACTTTCACCTATTGGTAATTATGATAAAAAAGTGCTTCACCAACCAAAGTAGTCAATAACAATGTTTCTTCATATATTTATAACGAACGAAAGAAA